TGAGGGTTTATACTCGACAAATCGGTAAAATTAAAGGAGGCTAACATTCGGTTTCAATTCTGCACGCAGAGGGAGGGGCGAGGGCGAAGGATACAGATTTTCAAATCGAGATTAGGTAAAGTACCAGACATACAAAGTGTAGATTGAATCTCGTGTCGATGATTCACCTGAGCAGTTGGTTCATCAGAACTTCAACGCAACGACGTGGAAGCCTCGTGTACCACCCACGTGTTCAAGAGTATCCTACATCCCAGAAGTGGGTAGATCTTAGAATGGCATGACATGAGCGTATATGTAGCTCAGGTCAATCATCAATCAATGCATTGCGTAAACAATAGATCGCTGAGTAAACACATTGTCGTTAGATAGTTCAAGCAGGGTACGCAGGGAAGGATTGCTTTGAATTGGAATATTATTGAGAAATCCATCGGCATTCAATTTTTTAAAAGATAACTCTCCTATCTCGATCACTACCAACAGCGACAGAGCTACTTTGCTAGCACCCATCCCCTCCCTCTCAAATCTTGTTTCAAGACTTGATTAGGCACCACCCAATCAACCCACCAGCCCAGCACATTATCGATCCGAACAAGCACGAAAAGAGAGACCGATAGGAAACATTTTAAAAAAAAAAAGCCACCCCGGAAGCCGCCCTTTCACAGTGTATCCTACGACTCAGGCCATGAACCTAGTAAACTTCGTCCTTCCTCCATTCCCCTCCATTCCCCGGTCAAAATGCCGAAAAAAAGACACCATTCGGTCACCTCCGTATCAACCCTCACCAGCCACTCACCAGAGATTGAAAAAAAAAGAAACAAGCAAAAGTAAACTAAGACAAAGAAGACAGAAAGAAACCCGAAGAACACAAGCATACAGATAAATCCCAACAATTAGGGATGGCAGAACAAAAACAAAAAACCCAATTCTGCCTGACTACGTGAAGAGCCAGGAAGAACAAAAGAAAAAATCAAGCTATCCAATTTAAAACCCCCTTTTTGTGTGTATTCGAGTGTGTGTGCGTGGAAAGAAAAAGATAGCCGAGATAAAACTGCCAACACGATCCCCCTTCTCCCTTGGCCAGCCGTCCGGTCGAGCCGTCCAAGTAAAGCAATAACAAGACAGGAGATTCAGGTGGAGAACTTTCTCCCTTGCCACCCAACCACTACCCCTCCAAATAGACAAGCCTACCCATTACATTCTTGCTAACCAATTCTCATCGTAAAAACCCAGCTTATACCGACTGGAATGCGATGTTGGTGAAGAAGAATAATGCCGATCCCAAGACAAAATTGAAAACCCGTAATATGCCCCATCAAACCGCGCAGTTCTATGACTGAGTGAAATCGAAAGACGCAGTGGTGATGACATTAAGAACGAGTCGAGGTTGTCGGTTTCGGTGTCGGTTGTGGTTTGAGTTTGTCTCACGAAACAAGACAAAATATTCAACTAAGGCTTCCAAGGAGAGGGAACTGAAAACAGAGGAGATAAAACACGATAAGGGAAAAATGCGTAAAGGAAATATAAGAAATCAATGCCCCACGAACGAGAATATCGTGAAAGAACTTTCCACAGAGCACACACACACACACGGAATTGACTGCAAACCCATTAACAAAAGAAAAAAGAAACAATTTATGCTCGCGAAAAAAAGGTTGAATGTTTAAACGCGATGATTCTTGTAACGGGCGAAATTTTGGCGACCAAGCGAACTAAAGTTTCACTCAATACCACTGCTGGGCACCAGAGCCACCGGGCTGGTCGTCTCGCTTGTTGACACGATAACCGCCAGGAGCGGCAAAGCCGTTGTTGGTAGTTACCTGGGCGCCCTTTGATGCAGAACGAAGCCTATACATCTGTCAGCAAGGTTCAAAAAGAAGAGAAAATTCTAGAAAAAGAAATTCTTCCTGACTCACATCCTATCAGATCCACTCAATCCACGGGTGGTATCCATTGTGCCAGGTGTATCAACGCCCATGGCACCAGTTCGGTCAACAACCTTTCTCCTGGTGCTACTAACAACGCCTGCAGGCTTGGCAGAGGCTTGAGCAGGTGGGTGACCAGCAGTAGCAGTGTTGGTGCGTGTAGCGCGCTGTTTGGTCAAATCCTTATCATCCATCTCCTCCTGCTGAGGAGCCTGCTGTCCACCGCCGGCAGCTTGGGCAATAGCTTGGGCATTCTTTTGCTGCTGGAACCCCACACATAAATTAACATACTGATGTACACATACAAGACTGTGGATGGTTATGCTTACGTATTTGTAGACAGTCCAGTCAAAGACATAGTCATATTGGAAACCTTCCCTGACAAACAAGTCCCTGAAGATCTTACGAAGATAAGAGTAGTCGGGCTTGTCATCAAACCTGAGGGATCTGGTGTAGTTGAGGTAGATAGCGAACTCGTTGGGGAATCCACGGCAGAGAACCTCAGTGGGAGTGGTCATTTTCTTCTCCATAATACGATCATACTTCTGCTTTTTGGTAGCAGCCTTCAATCCCTGCCAAGGGAGTGATCCACGACAGAAATAGAGCATGACATATCCAAGGGACTCCATGTCATCACGACGAGATTGCTCTAAGACATATTAATATTTTTTCTCTCTTTTATAATGCATCTCAAGGATTGTACATACCAACTCCCAAGTGTGTGTTGATGGACGCGTATCTTGCAGTTCCGGTCAAGTTCTTGTTTTCTCTGTAAGGGATGTGAAAATGGGTCTTAGGATCACGATATTTCTTTGCAAGACCAAAATCAATAACATTAACCTGATTCCCACGCTTCCCAATTCCCATGAGGAAGTTGTCGGGCTTGATATCACGGTGAATGAATGACTTGGCATGAATGTACTCGATACGTGAGATCTAATCATGGGTGTTAGTAAATGTTTCATCGAACATAAATATGTTATACATACCAACTGATCAGCAAGAAGCAAAACTGTTTTAAGCGAGAACTTGCGGTTGCAGAAGTTGAACAAATCCTCTAAACTGGGACCAAGAAGATCAAGGACCATGGCGTTGTAGTCACACTCTGTTCCAAACCAGCGTACGAAGGGAATTCCGACACCACCAGCAAGTGATTTGTATACCCTAGCCTCATATTCTAGCTGTGGGTGCTTAGCCTTGACTGATTCGAGCTTGATGGCGATCTCCTCGCCAGAAATGATGTTGGTTCCTATTAATACAGCCATGTTAGTTCAGTACTTGAAGGGTCCATCCATAGGTATCTACTAACCAAGGTAAATGTCACCGAAACTGCCGCTACCAATCTTTCTTCCGATGCGGTACTTGTTTCCGACCCGTAAATCCTGTGAGGGTTTAAAATATCAGCCTTGCGGGTTCTTAAGGCTGAGGACATACGCTGGCTGCCCCTTGTTTCTTGGGAAGAACCTAAAGAAAGCTGGGGCAAATTTTCACCCAAGGGAAAAGAAAGAAAAAGGGAAAGAAGCTTTGAGAGTAGAAAACATACCATGGTCGCCATCTTTGAATGATTTTACTTGCTATCTCTATGTAATTGTTTTGTGGCACTCAGGTTGTCCTGGAAGTTGATGGATGTTAGAGTCGTTGACAGCACAAACGAACAGTAATGTGAGGATAGAGGGAAAAGGCACAAGAAAAGGAGGAAGAAGGAGGAGGAACAGTAGGAAGAGGAGGAGGAGGGGGGGGGGGGGGGTACGCACTGAGTTGTTTCTATGAAGGGCTGATGTTGGGCAGCCTTGTTGCAGTTGATGAAGTCTGATGAACGGGGTGGGTGTTAGTCAGTAAATAGAACCTCTCCTCAGCCTTCGGTGCACACTTCGGTACACTAGTCGCCTCCTTTCTCCGCAGCCTAGCCAAGACAAGGGTACTCTAGAGACACCAGAATAATTGCGAGACAACCACCGAAAAGGGACAACAACGGAAGGTACTGGGGTTTGAAGTTGGGAGAAGAGGGTCGAACATACCAGCTGCTGATGATTTTCTGATCGATTTTCGGTGGCAAGTTTCTGCTAGAAGAAACCCGATGTAAGAAATAAAACTGTCGGCTCGGATGGCGCGGCTGTGAGATGTGAAAGGATTTGAAGGAGGGATTTTTGAAAGTTTCTCTAGAGTGAAGGAGTAGACAAGGTGTTGGGGGGAGGTAGGTGAGGAGGGGGGGGGAGATGGAGAGGGACAGAGACAGGAGCCCGGAAGCAACTTGCTGTAGTAGTAGGGTAGGCGGGGTTCTTCGTCTCGAAGTCAGGTGGTGAAAAGAGAGGGTTAGTCGGATGCTTAGTGCCTGATGGCTAACGTGCGAAGGGCTGGGACGAAGAAGGGAGAGCGGGCAGAGTGTTTGACCTTTCACAGATATTTTTGGTGCAAGAATTAGATCGATCCGGACTAGCTTGGGCGCTTTCGGACTGGGCCAGGCTGGCGGAAGGTGGACTCAATGCCAACGACCAGAGACAGCTGCAGAAATTGAACTGGTTTCAGCGCAATTCAAATTTTGGAAATAATAATTGGCATCACTAGAAATTCAATCTCCTGCTTTCATACCTACAAATACCTTACTAGTTACTAAAGTTAACTAATTAATTTTCTCTCTGTTTCTTACGCCCTGAATACTGATTTCAACTCTATCAAGAATGAAAACAAAAAGTGTGTGCATTCATAACCAGCTTCGTCTATCCTCAGTTCCTCCCTCCTCTCCCCTACAGAACAGCTCACCTCGCATCCAACCAACCGCTACGTATCCGCGCCCCTCCATTCAGAGAAAGCGAAACCCCATGAAACCGCATAAAACCCGAACAGCGAAACGGAGAATGGGGGTTGGATGATATGAGAATCCTCCCCTGCGTACACTATTGACAATCCCATCGGCCTCTTTCTTCGGGGAAAGAAGAGTGCTTGTGTGCTCCGGAGAAAAGCAAATGCTTGGAGCACTTTTCCCGCCAATTTCAATTTCAACACCGACCCGGTGATCCGAACTTTGGAAACATATGCTACACTTACCGTACGGTACAGGATATTGACGCTCATCAGACGATGGAAGATCGGTAAAACTACATAGCGCTTTTGCGCATAGCCCATCACGAGACGCGGTTTTTATGGATACGGGCTATCTAATGCTCGTATTTACAGGTTGACACTGCAATCTCAGCTATTAGGAAAAGACCGGTGAGATTTCGACTCCAAGGGATATATTTGCTGGATCTGAGATTGGCCTATGTTCAGACAGCTAAATGGGCTTCATCAAAAGCTCCTCGCCTCGGGCTTCGCATCGCACACACCCTGTACTACAGTTATTCATGCCCTGTTTTATTCTAGCCTGGGGACCCAGGAGATCAAAATAACCTCTTCAATGCGGGATGACCCGTACCCCCAGTTTATCGTCCTGGTACTAAACATCATCGAGGATTTTCAGCCTCAATCATATCAAAAGAATCCCATGCCACTCTGAACTCTGTTTAGCCACGTTGAGGGCAATAGGTCACTCCTACTACTACTGCATGTACTACTACATGTAATACTACTAATACTACAACTACTACTACATATATACGAGCTCGATATGACTCTTTGGCGGCTCCTTTTTCTCTCAACGAAATACCCCTCATATCTAGGCAATGTCCCCACCTCAGCCAACCACTCACAGCACGGTGAACGAGGCTAGAAAAAAGTAAATAAAAAAAACAAGTCAGATATTATGTTGGTCTTTCTTGTCGCACGCCTTCCGCATGATTCGGTGACGCCCCTCTCTCTCGGTCTCCGGCTTCTGCGGGTGCGCACAGCAGGTACAACCATGGATTAACTCGTTACATGACTTGCCGTCGACTGCCATCAGTTGAGCCCACTTCTCACTTTTCACATCAAAAAATAAATTTCTAGTTATGTATCCCTATCCGCCAATACATAGCCGCCGCGTGCGTGGCAGCAGATTATCAACCAACATTGATTCGAGACTTCTGCTAAGATTATTCGGCTCATTAAATTACGAGGAAGAGAAATAAAAGAATCCACGTAGTAAGCCAAACCAGCGAATGTTGCATAAGTCTGCTAAGTAGAGTAGCGCCTATTTGACATAGAGTAGGTAGATTAAGGGTAGTACCTACCCCACCAGAAGCCCGATGGGATTTGTTGGTGTAGCCTGAGCATGGGCATAAGCCACACTTAAGTGATGCGATGTCAAGTAAGGGGCGGTTCCTGCTCAGCCTCGGCTGCCCTATTTCAGCCATGTCCCGCGACGTGGTTTACATACGTATCTAAAGCCTGGGGAGACCGAGATCCAAGGCTAATGACGTAAGAACTGCGATTTAATCGGAGAATTTCATGGCGTGGAAGAAGTTTTCTTTCTTCCGTTCTTTCTTTCCTTCTTTGCGTTGTGTTGACTTTGCTTTCAGAGCAAGCCTTCCCTCTTTTGTATGTACCCATGATTTAGAGTATGTAGGCGTGGGTACTCTAAAGTATGTGAGTGAGGTTCCGCCCGGATCATCATTCTTCCAGTTGCTTGTTTTTTCTTTTCTTTTCGGTTTTTTCCCTCACGAACCAGCGGCATCTGGCAGCAGCTTGATTAGAGAGCACATGTAATGACAACTCAAAGAGCCCCAGCGACCCGTTAACCAAAGAAAAAATTAAAAACACGCACGTGAAAGAATGTACTAGGAAGGTATTGTAGGTAGTTACACCTCCTCTGCGTACTACATAGCTGGTGTAGTGGGAAGTTCGAGCATCATTTCCGACTAAATCAAGTAACTCTAACTCTGACGTGCGAATGAATGTGGCATCGAGTCCTTCGTCGAAGAAAAGGAAAGGAAAAAGCAAAGAAAAATAGTAATCCTCCCAGGGTATCTACCTGAGCATGAGTACCGCAAAAACTCACGAACTTTGCTAGCGGATCTGACTAAAAACTAACTTGTAGAGGAAATATCTGAAGCTGATCTCTGCCTTTCAGCCAATCATCAATGAAGAAATCCCTGCACGGAAATAATCAAGTTGGCGAGTTTCTGCGGTACTCTACTCGCTTTACCAGGAAACCCTTTACATGCCATGGATGTCCACCAAGTATCTAGCCTAAGTACGATCTGACCGGTCAAAGTATCATGACCCTTGGAAAAACAATGAAAGTACCACTGCGACAAATAAGGTAAAGTACCTACTCCAGAGTAACACCATGCTGTCGTTTTGTTCCTTGGTTCTTGTGTATTTTTTTTTTTTTCTGCCCTGTCTTACTTGGCTGCAAGGTCCGTTCGATCTGCGACGAGACGATCTCGATGCCACAACGTTTCGTTTGGACTGACGGACCGGGCGGGGATCAACGACAGGACGCATATCATTTGTTATTCCTATTATCAATTTTACTAGCACCCTGGGAAACTCGCGAAGCGGTAGTATTTACTCTCTATTATACTGTATAGACCGTGTGCACCTGTGCCGAGCACCTTATAATAAAGGCAGCATTTTAGCCACCATTTGGAGCGGATCCCTAGAGATAAGATGAGATGCTCGGCACAGGTACACACGGTCTATATCAACATAACTACATGTGACTTTGAAGGAGGTTGTCTCATGGCCCGCCCGAGAAAGCCGGACGCTGTGCTATGTGTTCTAGAAAATGCGGGGTTAAATCAGCGTTGGTGTGGGGGGTTGGTTCTCTGCAGCCAGTTGTTCTAAATTAACTCTGCGTGTTATTATTACTGTGGCTGCAGAATTCAGGACGACGGATATAAACACCGGCCCTCATGCACGATACGATATATCTGGCGCTCGATAAGAGCACTGTTAAAATAAGTGATCCCAAATCAAAAGGCAACCGGTCCAGGATGATCGCCGTTCAAAGGTGATAAGCCAAGATGAAGCGCTCCGCCAGTACTGTAAAGTTCTCAGTGATAAGTAAAGGCTACGTCTTTCAATAAAATAAATGGAAGCCGCAGCAGGTACAACCGGGTAAATCTTTCTGCAGCCCGAGTGATAATGCATGAACCGCCGATGACACAAAGTTTATTCTCGGAAAGGTTGTTAATTCCTGATAAGGAGGTTAGCCAGGAGAATCCGAGCGAATTCAAGACCAAATATTACTCCCGGCCCGGTTATCAATGCAGGTAGATAACTCACCCGGAAAAACTGATGTTGCACCACCGCAACTAGTCTTGGCGACCAGTTCAAACCTTCGGATTGTTTGCATCCTGGCACCTACTCTAAACAAATCGGATTCCCTGGAGCAGATCTTGAATTCCCCCGCACCACTACCACCACCCCCCACCCGTCCCAGAACTCATGAAGGGTCTCACAGGGATGGATCAATGGGCATGGCTGAAGTCGGTCGGTCCTTGCTTTCTACCTACCAGCTATCAGCTACAACTCCTCGTGATACTTAAAATACCTGCATAATTACCTGAGAACTCCAGATTGTCAGGTGTTGCCGATGAGAGGGGTACTTACTTTACCTACTATGGATCTATGTACTCGGGTGTAGCAATAAGAACCAGAACATGCAAGTGAAGAGACTGGGATTATTTGTATGGAGTGGCGCCGCTCTGCCATACAAATAACCTCATGGCATGTTCTGGTTCTAACCCTTGTACCCAAGTACCATGCTCCGCCACCGTCAAACATCAAGATCTGTCAATACGGGTATCCGCGCGTTTTCATAGCACCCTCGATTGAGTTGACTGCACATAACCGCGGAGGGTGTGTCGCAGTGCCCAAGATTTTCAACCCCACTTAGGTGCATTCAAAACATTTTGTGAACCCCGCCCTCTCCTCTCGAGTTGCCTCATCTCGGTGAACCGACTAGCCGCGAGCCATATGATATATTATCATACCATTCATCTTTATAATCCTCTCTGCAGCGCGCCAGGTGCGTTGAGTAACTGTCTCCTCATTTTAATGCTGACCCGCGATCAGTCAGTCAGGCAGCTGTCGTTGTCCTCTCCCGGCCCGACTCATTACCCAACAGGAAGCGAGAATGCCGAGATTGATCGGCGGAATTCTTACTGCCTGCATAAACATGCCTGCAGGGGTGTTTAAAAATCGCCATCCGCCCGTCGGCATCACATCCAATATGTCCTTCGTTTATCGCTGGGGCAAATGTTTCAATGCGGGTTGTCGAGTGACCATGTATGATGCCGATAAGACTTATTCTTATCATACCTACCCCATTGATTGGTCTAGAGTAGTAGACTGTGTTTTTTGTGTTTTTTGTGTTGAAGCAGTTGAAGCACAGTTTTCTGTGATGTCTGAAAATAGCCGGGTGAATGTAATGCTGACAAAATTACACGTACTTCGGTATCAGGGATAAGTGAGAAGACACCACGATGCCAAGATTGCGTGAAGGGTGTCTTCTCACTTACCCCTACCCCCGAAGTACATGGAGTGATCCTTATGATGACAAACAATATAGCATGCATGTGCATTTATGACATTTATGACAGCGGTCGACCGCTCTCAATTACATGTAATTATCGGCCCTAGCTGCGAGTGATGAAATATGATGCGCAAGACCCCCGTTCCCCTACACCTGTTTAAGTCAGCTAAAAGAAACAATTCAATAATTTGATTTTTGTTCCCATTTTCTCGGAAAGGAAGTTCTAGCGAGACCGTAATTAACACCTATAAGTAGGTTCCAGAACACGAGGGTAGGATCGGCTTGAATGACTGAGAACAAACATATTCATTAATTGAGATGAACTCATCCACACTGTAGCTTTGTTCTAGAGAGGAAGAGAAGCTTCCCATGTGCGTGGAAGGCACTGGAGCGAACAAAGGATGGAAAAGTCAGAAACAAACACGCCGCAGCCAGCCGCGAAGGGGAATTTGAAACAAGTGGCACAAACTGCATGCTCCCTCAAACCATAACACCACATTCTCCGCGGCAAGTAAATAAGGTTTGCTGTAGCTGACGATCTAAAACGTGTTGCGGGTATGTATGTACTTTACTCTATGTGTGTGTAGCTGTTGAGCTGGTCGCAGATCTGGAATCTGTGTATCACTAGACTGCATAGGGCAACGTTCCAGGGACCACGCTAGTCTGCATCAATGTCAGGGGCAGAAGGGGTTGTCTTGCAGTCTTCTAGCTTGTAATCGTGATGTTTTGCAGCGGCGCCTGCCGGTTCCGAGAATATATCGACCTCACTAGAGCCATGATTTAGGGTATGCAATAATGGCTTCAGGGAAGAACTGAAGGGATATTTAAATTAGTAAAAGGGTCCAAGCCTGCTGTCATACTTGGCCCATCTCATCTAGCATAGAATAGATGTGGGGTTAACCCACGATAAAGCCGAGATCCAGAATGCCACTAATTTCGTGATGTTTACGTCTGTCGCTGAGCATTGAGAGCGAAAGAAGATGTCGGCCTTGCTAAACCGATGACCGGCTTAACCTAGGAGAATCTGCAGATGGTAAGTTAATTTTTTCCTTCATGATCATGATAAAGTTAGCAACCTGCGATAAAGTAGTCATAGA